TACATCATTCAACATGGTGGCCATGTCTTTTGTTACATCATCCAACATGGTGGTCATGTCTTTTGTTATGTCAACCAACATGTTGGCTATATCTTGTTGTATATCATTCAACATGGCGACCATTATCCGATCAACCAACATTCGTTTTTTTTAACGGTATTCATAATAATAATAATGATAATAATAATAAACAAAAAACAAACGAACAAAAAACAAACAAACAAAAAAACAAAACAAAAACAAAAACAAAAAACAAAAAATTTAAAAAAACAACAAAAAAACAGCTTCATAAAACTAATGAGTGGGTATCCTGTAGAGCCGCTGCCCCGGCGCATGACTACACGCCTGATGATGAAACCAGCCAGATAGTGACTCTTTATCATTGATATTTGCAGCGTGAGAAAGAAGTGATTCCAAATAGCCATGTTAATTTATTTTATATTTATATTATTAATCTGTAAACACAATTTGAATAATATAGCAATATTCCATTTATGGACCAAACTCAGTGAGCACTTGTAAGGATGTTTGATCCGCATGTCAAAATAAACAAGAAGCAAGAAAAACAAGAAACTTTAATTTTGAGTGAAAATTAACATTCGCTATTGGCTTGAACTCGATTTTTATTTAATGCCATTTCTCTAATAGTCAAAATTATAAGCTGCAACTTCACCTTGCTACTAATATCAAGGTGCTCTTTATTAATTTCTGCTGGTTTTTTTTTTTTTGTTTTGTTTTTGTTTTTGTTTTTGACACAACTGCTTGACTTAAGGTGAAATGGTTACATGGCATCACAATCATGCGTCTATTTCGAACCAATCAATTGAGAACACGTCTGACTTCCCCTTACGCGACCTGTTATGTGAGTTCCACTGAAGCTTCGACTTCATGCCATTGAATGGGAGTTAAGGGAAGGTATGTTTTTTATTGGGGGGTGGGCGGGAAGGGCTGGCTAACTCGATTAGCTTTTCAGCTATTTTAGGTAGCTGTGCTCGTTTTTTTGCAATTTTTAAATTTATGTTTCATGGAATTCTTTCCTCCTTGAGTGCAAATAAACTATTGTGTTGTGTTGGCTGGGGACTTCAGAGAGGAGGGTTATCAGTAATAACTTGAACTTTTTGAAGGATCAAACTTATTAATTTCGAGAAAAGCGGTTTCCTTGCAGGGCCTTATCAACTATGAGGCAAGCTAGGCAGTTGCCTTGGTAAAATGTCACAAATACCCCTCGGAACTATGGCAATCACTTTTCCGAGGGTTACAATTTCAAAATTTTCCGGGGGTGCATTACTCTGAACCGCGCTAGTTGCTCCCGCCTTTGGCGCTCGTTTGCCTCGGTAACTGTAGTAACCTGGGTGCGAGTCTCGTGACTCAGAGCGCGGGAATCCTAGAGCAGCCATGTTGTTGAGTTGTTCAAGATTAAAGCACTGAATTGTACCGTACTCGAGTGCTACTTCATTAAAGTACCTAATGAGGGTCATGAATTTCTTACTGAATGAAAGGGGGAGGGCAACAACTTTTTTTAAGTTTATTTTTATTCCCCCCCCCCCTCCCCAAAAATAAAAAACGTACCTTCCCTAACTGAGGTTTCAAAACGATTTAAGAGCGACTGTCCAGAAATATCGAGCAAAATCGAAAATTTGTGGCCACAATCAAAAAAATAAAAGCCCTTCATTTTTGGTCTGTAGACACTGTTTGATGAGTTTATGAACGTACTGGGGTCGGTTTTTCGATCTACGTAAAAAATCCGGATTTTTTTGAAAAAAACGATTTCACCCCGTGTCGGTCTAAAAATTGCTCAAGAAACGGCTGCGAATTACGCTTTCAAAACCATTCTCGCTCCAAGAGTGAAAACCCAAGTTACAATCAAATTTGCAACTGAATTCAAGAAAAGGGGTGTTGAACAATTGTTCCAGGTGATTTTAGACGTTTTAAACTAAACTTTAGAAAAAATTGCATTCTTCCAGCACAGTTATTCACAGTCTCGATTTTACCTCACATTTATAAAAGCGATTTTCGCATGTGGCCATTCTCCAATTTTTACAAAACTCAAGCTGTACAATGTTCAAATAATAAAATAACACGAACTACAAAAATTAGTTTGGGTTTTTCCACAGGCCTTATGAAAACTTTATGCGAAGTTGGAAAAATTTGCCATGTAAATATGCAAATTAGCAGTTTGTTTACATCTCCACACCACAGATCACGGCCGCGAAAAAAGTCATCTAAAATAGTTTTTACAGCTTATTAATCCAAACATTAGCCTATCTAAGGACTATAAGCATGATTGGCCTTTGTTATTATTTTAAACGATTATTTGTTGAAGTTAAGCCTACACTTCCGGTGTTGAAGACACTCAGCTTGCTTGCCTCGGTGCGTAGTAAACTTAGTAATCATAAATGACTGTTAACATGCTCTATAAACGTTACTATTCCTCACTAGTGGTATCCAGCTTATCACATAGTATTTTCACATACTGAGTATGCTTGAAAGTTTGTATTACTTTGTAAATAAGCAGGGATCAAACCTGTCAAAGCGGATTATGTGAGCTGATGGCGTGACAAACGACAGTTTATATATATATACTTTAAAACGTTTTTTCTTTTTTCTCATAGTCTTATATCAGATTTACGCTTCCACGAAACCAGGCGAGTGTATCATACATTCGATCTATTGTACAGCCATGAAGCTAGTGGGGTAGGGTAGGGGGAATTGTATATCAGGCTACAACTGCACTCATTATACATGTAACCAATTTTAAACATGACTTCGATCAAGCAAGAAAACATATGACAGCTAAAAAAAACAAATCTTGATAATGAGTGATTCTCTTTAGTTTATGCAAAATCACAAGATGTTCAGGCAATAAAAAACGTACTGTACCAAACGACGTCACGTCCGGCTCCGCGCAAACTGTCGTTTTCAAAGCCAACATTTCAAAAACTTAGCCGCCATATTGAAATAGCTCTACAACAGGAAGCCCAACCAATGAAAAGTACCTCAATAATGGACACTTAGTGGATTTTCTAAAAAGTTTGCTCGAAGACAGGCCTTCATTTTTTGATACTCTCTAGATTTAGTTGACCTGGAATTACAGTGGAAAAATCACCGATTTAGAGTTTTTAGATATTCGACGATATATTTCGATCGAGTTTGTGACACACTGAGAACCACTGAGGGCGTACACATCATACTAACCACGATTATAAGCACCTTTGATTATATACAATATAGGAAGTGCGCTCTATAATTCATAAATCATTCTTACTACAGCGTTATATACTAGCCTATACCGGAGTAACTACGACACTCCTGTACCAGTGACTGACAGGGATAGCGATCGTGACCCTATACCGGAGTATCTACGAGATTTCTGTACCAGCGACAGGCATGATAGTGATCGTGACCCTATACCGGAGTATTTACGATATCACTGTGCTAGTAACTGGCAGAGATAGTATTGTGACCTTAAAGCAGAGTATCTACATCTTTGTACCATTGGCTGGCAGGTATACCTTCAAATCACATCGTCTAGTTTACTGACAGTTTTGGATGTGACCGTCATAATTCATACCAGGGTTGTTAAGGTACAGTGAAATGGTCAACTTGCTTTAAAACTGCCTTTGTAGTGCAGTCTATCGATCCATCGCTCTGGTTGTTCAGTTAGAGTGGTTTTTACAATGTCGTAGCCATCCAGTATTTCAGCATTGCCATAACAGTAAACTGCCAATAATTTATAAAATTAGGGCGGAGTATGCTCTAAAGTTGATAAGTCGGGACTACTCTAATAAGGCTAAAGCACTGGAGTCATGACTTCCCATGAATAAGAGCCAGAAATTTGTACCATTATTATTATATTAGGAGAACCAGAACCAGAATAATAACAGCGTTAACCAGCACTATGGGAACAATGTACTGTGCGTATCACCTAAAATGGACAGGAAAAACAACAAGTCAAATAAAGTAAAACATCAGTTTTTGTGGAGACCCAACACACTCTGCGGGTTCACAATGCCACTCGAGGCAGTGATTGATATTTGACTGAAGGACAGGCCTGGGGGGTTCTGATACCCAGTGATGAAAAGCAGAGAGAAAGGATAGACATATTGTACGCATTCAGAACGAGTACGTAAGAATTGTTTCCGTTTTTTTTATTTGTTACATCTTTGGATTTAAGGCAAATAGCGGTACAAGTTAGAGGGAGAGTGGGAATGAGACTATCCTTAGTCCCTACTCTGCTAATGCTAATTGACTACAGTTTGAGGATGAAATCAAGTTTTGACTGACTGCAAACGACCATGAATCATAAGATGTTCCATGAAACGACCACTGAAGGCCACCAAGAGACATTGTAAACTCATTCTCTTGTACTTACTTAAATTCAGACCAACAAAAGGAAAGAGATGACTTGAGATGCGTACCATTATACCCCATTTTGGTCTGCGACTCTGCAAGATAAAATAAAATGGATAACGTTTTTTTTTTTTTGTCTTTCTGTGGCCTTCATACGAATGGGTCACAAATCTCACATACCACCATAAGCCGTTCTGACAAAATAACCACTCTCAACAGACCGTTCTAGCTTTTTGCTGGATACAAACTTAGCCACACTTGCTTGTGTATAGTGTTGTGTATAGATTAGTGAATAAGGAATCTGTTCACCGCAGAAAGAAGTCAAGCCTAGGCCTGATACACACACAGAGAGCGCATAAAGATTACATAATCACGCGTAACAACGTTCAATATGTTATCAAGGTTTATTAATGATGGGACAGCAAAATCACGAACAATGATTGAAACTTTATGGAAATAGACTACTCCTTGAAGTTATTAGGCTATGTTACCTTTAACTGCAAAGGTTTCTTGATTATTTTGAAGTAAAGGAGACGAACAATCGCTACTCCTTCCCTCTTTCGACTCCGCCATATTGAATATTTACAAGAAAACCGCTGATCATTACACAGGTAACCCATTTCTGGCTGCTTTTGTGTTCTTTCTTGGGCTAAATTTTATCGATCGTTTTGCTCTTATTAATGCTATCATATTCTTAGCCTGCGTGAAGCCGGACTTTCCTCTCGTATACGGACTTAACAGCTAGTTACGTTCGTTTGCACGCAGGCTATCATATTCTCTTGATGCTATACCGCATCAGGTGATATTCTTTCTGAATTACAGAGCGAAAGAAGAAAGAACAAACGGACAGTGATAGAGAAAAAAAGAGGTGGCTGCGAAGAAAAAGGGTCTTGAAGGGGTAAAATAGGAGCTGGGACTCGCCTTTTTTGGGCTGGGAAAATGGGATTTTATGCACTGGGAATGGAATTCACAAAAAAATCAAAAATGGGAATAGAATTGAGATTTGAGCAAAACAGGCTGGGACCATGGGATTTCGTCAAGATGGATGCTGGTAATGGGATAAGGACCCTCTTCAGGACCCTCAAGCTAGAGACATAATGAATGATGCATGAGGCCTGATGTATTCACTTCTGCACTACTGACAGGAAATGGCCTCTTTGTCCTCATAGTGCAGTAATAGCAGGATCTAGTTCGGATTAAAATTCTGGTTGCGAATCTGAAATTTGCCTGGGTGAAATCCGATAGATCGCTATGATACCCCGTTGAATATTGTGGCGCAGTTTGCTGCACTCCATTCAGCTCAATAATCCAACGTAATCTAGGCAGTGGTCGTGGGAAGAAGATTCTAGGAGTATCAAGCCGCCGTCCCCGAACTAAAACTTCACCATCTAAATTCTACGGCCACAATATGGCCACTCGCCATCAACCCAACGTTTGTCCGAATCTCGGATCTTTGCTTGGGAACCCCTCATCCCTAGTGACTTTGTGTGTATCGCTTCGAAACGAGACTATAACTGCCTACGTAAGATGATAGTCAGTACAGGTACAGTGAGGCTTGACCCTGACAGCATAACCCGAGATGGCCATCAAAGAACATGTGTGAAGGACGCACAGAAGAAGTGCATTTGTGCCACGCTGACATGTTGATCTGATTTATCCATCGTAATTCTAGACAATCTTGGAACAATTTGCACTAGGGTCTTGGTCCACATTGTAATGCAAATTAGATTGGCTTAATCACCGTCTAATCTAAAGTATCGTGTACACCCTTAAATTAGCTCAAGGCGACAAGCAAGGACAAACTGAAACAGATCCAACACTTCTATCTGACCGTTAATATAACATAAAACAGGTATGTTGAAAAATAAAGTTAGCTGTCCACTTATACTTATATTAAGTGCCTATTTAATTTAGATTCGTAATATATTTATGAAGATACTGATATGATGTGACAAGGTTATAGTCTTGAAGTTAATGAGTTTTCCATAAGGGCTAGGTTTTAGGATTGATATTGAATTCACTTAACCACCAAGAAATCAGGCACCAATTCATTAACGATTTTGAGGAATTCACCAACAGAAATATTGACGTCATTCCAAGTTTGTTTCTTTGCTCGCTAACTTTTACTCGCGCGTTTTGATGAAACTTTTCTCTCCATCAGGAAAACCACTTAACTTTCTTTTAAATGCTCGATGAAAGCCGAATGACATCTACACTATAGTGTTTCTAAGTTTCTCTGGTTGAAGACGAACACAAGTGCTTGGTTTCGAGATGGCTTTTTGCTGTTCAATGGTCAGTGAGCCTGCCAGCGTAGGTAAGTAGTTTTACAATATATTTTTAGTGAATTATTTGACTCTTAAAAAAAAACACCATAGGCTTTATGATTCCAACATAAAATCCTTCCCTTCAGGGATCCCTGTTATCGCCAAGTGTGGCAGTCGCGCTTGTTCCACTTTCTACCAAATTCTTTTACCACACATAGAGCAAACTTAAAAACACGATTGTAATAATCCCGGCCATTTATATTAGTGCTTGTTTTCGCCTCAAAAACTTCATCTCATTTGTAAACATATAGATGGATTTTCTTGTCAATTTGTATTTGAATTGGTTCGCTAGAAGCTGCTTCCAGCAAACGTTTCATATCTGACTCATGAATGATCTGAAAGACAAAAACACTGATTTCCCCCATTTCAATCAGTATTTGCTCATTCAAATTTGATTTCAATAATTCGTAAAATTGTGTCAATTCTAATAGAAATGTTTGATTTTAATTCTGAAAAAGTTAAAAATTACAAGCATTTTTTAGACTTTTGAGCAAATATCTCTACAAACAAACTTAGATCTATCTCTCGACCGGCTTATCGGTGTTTTTCGTGTCAAACACTGACTAATTTTGTCCCCGGAACTCGTTTGACATAGTTTTCAGAGATTAAAAACAATCGGTACTATCGTTCCATGTGGGACTTACGTCAACTAACATGAACTTTATCATCAAACATCATTCAAGCTAATTCCTCAATGCTTAGAATCTGAAAGATCTCTTCTTTAAGTTCTTATCACTTCTTTGTCAAAGGATCTTCCAGATTAACTCCTAATTAACTAAATTTTTTATGTGGTCTTCTTTCCGGCTTTGAACAACTTTTTCTGATAAGTTTTAAAAATACTTTTTCTCTTAGATAAATTTTGAAGTATAATGATTCCAGGATTTATAACTTTTGACCTTCTTTTTCATTGTTCTTTTGTTCTGTTCAAAATCTTTCCTCCAAGTTACAGCACTGTTTTCTTCCTCTCTTCAACAATCCGATTGCGTACTTCACAATTTAGGCTCAGTCTCGGGTATCCAGATATTTTTTGAAAATGGATTTTTTCGTCTACACAAAGCGTTTTTGAATTGTTTTTGCACGTTCACACGTATCGAAATTTTTCGTTTTGAAGGCTAATCCAGTCACAAAGAAACATGGATTTTTCCGTCTTCAAAAATATCCGAATTCGAATTCCGGATAGAAAAATCCGATAGATGTTAGCCAATACAGTGACAGCCAAGACACATGAACAATAGTTTTGAAAGGGGTTTGGATAAAAGTTCTTTCCTTGTGTACATACGAAAAGACGTGAATTACAAGTTTTAGATAGCTCTATATCCGTGCATTTTAACGTGTCTATCATTCGGCCATCATTCAACTCTGGCAACAGAGCCAAGATCTTGTTGTTGAACTGGCAAAATGTTCATAAACTAAAAACTTCGATTAACTTGCCTGGTGATAACGGCTAGGAATTCGAATTTGTCGAATAGAGAGAATTCTTCAATGCAGAGAGTGAATAACAATAAAAAAATTTAAGCTTTTACAGAAAACGTGGGTGGACCAGCCACAAATACAACTGTCTATCGTGAACTTCAAGTAGAACCTCGACACAGAAGAAACTAAGTTGATTAGAACAAATTAAATGTTGACGTAAACCTCGGGATGAATTCATTATAGTCCAGAAAGTGCATGTTTGACAATACTGTATAACGTATTTTTCTAATATATCTTCAAATGGCAGGCGAAGGAAGATGATATATTGAATTAGGACTGTCCATACTGATATAGTGGGGTCAATAAAATACGGCTGCTTTAAATTAAACAGTTATGAGGCTATGAGGCACAAGGTCGTTAATGGTGATAACGAGAAGTGCACGTATCCGTTTGCAAATGATAAAAAAATCAGTGGCAGATATAGGGGGAGGGGGGGGGGGGGGGTATAAGGAAATGGTTATCCTTGTGAATCCAAGGACTGACTGACATTATTCAGTCAAGCGCAAATTCAAGCCTTACATCAAAATTTGTATGAAATGATTGTTTTGAATAGAATGAATTTTTCGCTTTTTTATAACCTACAGTGAACTTTTTTTTGTAAAATATTTGCGAAGTTGTATCTAATCCAAGAAGGATGAAATTGGAAACCCCTAAACCCGCTGGATTAACTATGAACTAAAAGAGTGGGAATTTCAACCAACAGAGCTCTTTTTACCTTGGGCTTGAGGTTTCCCATTTCAAACCACGTGTCATTCCCTAGAGTGTCATTTCTTTGTCTAATGGTTGCGCATGAGAAGACACATGAATAATGGATACGACTCAGACAAAGAATCTTATTCTCAAGACCACGTGTCATTCCCTAGAATATCATTTCTTTGTCTAATAGTTGCGCATGAGACGACAGTGAATATGGATACAACTCAAACAAAGAATCTTATTCTAGGGAAGCACTGGTGGCGTGCGCTGCTAATGCGCCGCCTCTCACCAATGCGGCCCTAGTTCGAGTCCTGCCGATCTCGATGTCGTATGTGAGTAGAGTTGTTTGTTGGCTCTCTCCTGTGCTTCGAGGGTTTTTCTCCGGGTTCTCCGGTTTTCCTCCCTCCTCAAAAATCAACTTCTAAATTCTAATTCGATCTTTGGGCTTTCACTTAGATTGTCCCACGCTGTAATACGACAGCGAAAAGCTTTGTAGATTCTCAAGAGAATGACACGTGGTCTGAAATGGGAAAACATTACCCTTATCGACCAATAATGACTCCCCTTTTTAGCAATAAAATGAAATGTAAATAATCGAAAAACTAACTGGGGAATTTAAATGCGGAAATAGAAAGGAAAAAACAGGGCCGTAGCCACTATGAGATAAGCGAGGCAGTTGCTTCGGTAAAATGTCACAAATGTCTCTCAAAACTCTGGAAATTGCATTTCCGAGATTCTCAATTTCCAAACTTTGACGATAATGTAATTATCGAGAATGCACAGTACAAATTAGGGGGCTCGGGGTACAAGATCGTCTCTTACGCAGCCGCTCAGATCGGTGACGAAACTAATAGCGGCTGCATAGGAGACTAGGCACGAGACTGATTATTGAAAAGAACAACTATTTTTGAAGATTGGAAACTAAAAATTACCTCTTCTACATATTTTGACGATAACCTTAGCAATAATATTCAGGTCTTCATTGGTCCATCTTTRGATCAGAATCGAGACACTGGGTTGAACATCTGCGCATGCGTCTGTTCTGGACGGGACGCGTACTTTTTCCCGCCAAAATTTAAATGAAATTGTTCAATTCACCTTTTTGGCGCTAGCTTGGATTGTGTTACGTTCACCAAAAAGTTCGGACATTGTTCTCGGATTTCCATACAAATTCACTGACTTTAAGGAGAAAATTTAGGTAGATTTCTTTAGCTAACTCTCTCAACAGCAGTAAGAAAAGCTTCAATCAAGCTAGAAAAAAGGATTTTTTACTTGTATTTAGAGAACTAACTAAACATTAACCAAGTAAATAGTTCATTTAAAGCAAGTACATTTGTACGGAAATTCGAGAACAATGTCCGAACACAATTCAAAGCAATTTATACCACGTTACGGCTTCGTGGAAAAGGCGAATTCAATGACCATCCAGACTGTTAAGAAAATTAAATTTAAAGTATCAAGAAAATTAATTTTCAAGGTTTTTAATCTCGTAATAAAAACAACGAAAAATGGTATTTATATTTCGTTGTAAATATAAAGCTTTTTTACTTTTTTTCGACTGAAAAACTCGGGCTGATTTGCGCATGTGCAATAGGGTGCCCGTATGCAGGATGTCTGGAAAGATGAGAATATGTGGACCGCGTAGCACTTATGAAATACATGAAGATATAGAAATATGGATAAGTTATAGTGCTTGGGAACGAGGTTATTCCGGGCGAAAGCCCTTGGAATTAAATTCGGAAAAATTAATTTCCGACCTCGCTGAAAATAATTTTTCCGAATTTAATTCAAAGGGCTTTCGCCCGGAATAACCTCGTTCCCAAGCACTATAACTTATCTATATTTCTATATCTTCATGGATGTCTGGAAAGTGGGGTTCGACTAATCGTCATATCCCTAAAATAGCTCATTATTCATCCAAAAAGAATGTAAACGCTTCAAGTGGCACAAGTAATTCACGAACAACACGATTCGTTACCCTTTAATACTCAATAATAAAATCAAGCAAGTTAGATAATACCTATTAATAGCTAGTACGATGTCAAATCATGCTTATCAGCGACGGGCAGTCTTACCTGTACACTCCCAGATCATTACTTTGTGATTTTAAAGCCATTAAAAACCATTTTTGCCTAAAACATTCCGTGCAATATTGCATGTTAATCTGCTGATCCGTAATCGTTTTTGTCTTTTAATCGAAATTAAAGCCAGTTTTGATGCCGTTAGATAAGATGCRGGTCAATATCAATGGGTGCATTATTTATATGCATTAGTTAGAGTTCTATATTCGAGCGTTATCGATAATATGCTATACTGTTGACATCCATTTACTTGCTTTCTCAGAGAACCTAGTTCTTTTTTGATATTCAGTATACAATAAGACTTCACTAGCCAAATGGAAATTTAGCCGGAAAGAGTGTTTATGGAATAAGCTCGTTTTTAAAAACCTATTCCTTTATTTCTTTCACTCATTTCCTTTTCCTTTATTATGAAATGTTCTTTGTGATAAAAACTCCATTAGGCTGTACTGAATACGTGATTATATCTTTGATGGTAGAAAAGAGGAAGGAAAGGAAGGACAAAAAAGGCGATAGCAAATCGATAGCAAAACACCTATACGGAAAAATAATACGCTTCAGGTTCCATTTCTGCTTGAATGAGTCTAACCCATGCACAGCTTCAGTTCCAGTTATGCATATGTTGTGACTTTACTATTGATTCTCATTAAGAAATACTCTAGCTAACCCTTCGGTAAGTTAGTCGAGGTAATCTTACTAATTCTGAATAAGCCAATGAGGACGGCTTTCATATTGACAATACACCCACAATAAGCTCAAGACAGGTGGCCATTCAGTTCAAAGAGTGAGTAGTAGAGCAACAATGAGTACAGAATAGACGGCTTGCATCGCTGTCTTCATTCAACTTCTAGTAAGCTTGGCGTTTCGTTGATGACTGTGGTTGTAGGTCAACGAGGAGTGAATTTATAAAATCTGGGTCAATGATACGAAAATTTTGCGGTGAGTATAATAAATCCATTACTCTAGATCTCAAACTAACCGGAAAGTTCAACTCGTTTATTTTTTAAATTATTGTTTCTATTATTTAAGCTTCTGTAATTGTTCTATTAAAATACAATAGTGAAGACAGTAGCGGTAATTTTTAATATTTGATAAAACATTGTTTTGATGAAAAGAATATAATCCATAGTCGACCGTAAAGCATCATTCGTCAACCAGCTCGTACATAGTCCGTTCGTAATCAAATCTTTTAATGTTTGTCTGACCATTAGAACTTCAGTCCATTAGCTAAAACAGCATTTATGTAAACACACTTATTTGAGGAAATATAGCCTAACGCTGGAGAAATAATAAACTAAGAAGAGAACAACTCTGCGTCCGTCAGAACTAGTACTCCTTGTAGTAAATTGTGTACTGTACGAATGTTAAGTGAAAATTAAAATCTTTCCCTATTTATAACATACTAAAATCAATGACATTCTCTAGATCCATTCTTACTAGGAAATGTTAAGTTATTGTTATATTTCTTAATAGAAATACTACAGAGCTACGAATTAGATTTTTTTATAGTATACGGCGTAAAGTTTACATATACTTCATTCTGCAAGATATATTTTTGACATATTTTCAATCATACCTCCTCCATATATAGTCCTACACCGTTCATTCTGCCTTGAATTAAAACATAATTTAAGAGAACTATGCAATATTTCCCCCCGTCTATTTTTTAAAAGAAATGAATAAAGCGGCATCAAAATGGACAGTGATTTGTGCGATAAAAAATCGCGCTAAGTTCATAACTGCTTTTTCCTCAGTTACTTGGTCTCCAAGCCGTAAGGTATATGTATTTAAAAATGGAAATTTTTATTTATCGTTCCTGATTAGGATATTCATGAAAAATAGAAAATATTATTGAAAGACTAAAAGAGATTATTTTATCGTTTTGTTTTTACACTTCCGCCAATCCACATGATAAGTCTCGGTCGCTGCTTTTCAATTTGAAGGATTTTGTTCTTCGCGATGTTGAAAAGTTAAAAATCATGTCATAATTTTTGAATTTAGCCTTACTGTGTATAAAATCATTCTGTTTCTATGGCAACATAGTTTCGGTTTATGGCTTTCTTCTGACTGATTAATATCCCATGGAAATTAGATCGTCGCTCACATCTTTATTCACAGTTTCCGTGTTCGGCATTGGTACCGTGTTATACAACACAAATTAGTCCAATTTTCTACGTTTTTTCTACAACTTGAGATGTGGAAGAAAATGCTCTACGGTAAGCAAGGTTATACTCATTATTACAGGGTATTTCTTTGGTAGTTTTCGTGTTTTTATTCGAGAAATTATTTTGTTTTGTATTTTGCCTTCATATTAAGAAACCTTTCGATCTTTTGAAATGACAATTTTGAAATGTCAATAATTCTTAAAGAGGAGAATTAGACCAAAATCGATGTAAGTTAGTCTTCCGTGTGTGTTTTTCATTCATTGAAATAGCTAAACTCTTGAAAATTGGACGAAAAATGGAAAAATTATTTGTCATTTGTTTGGAAACCTCTGCGATATTAATCACAAAGTCAGTTGCGAAAGTTGATGAAAATGGTCAAGATGTATTGACATGAATGTCACTCCACGTCTGCCTCCTCATCGTCTCTACGTTACCATAATATAAAAATCTATTTTCACCAACTGGTAGCTTCTTCTATAATGGCTTACTCATCATGTCCAAATGTACCTTAAATTCTTTTTTTTTTCCAAATTTGAAATAGAATTTTCGTTTTAGGGAATAGAAAAAATAGTCATACTTAATCCAAAATGATTTTCAGTTAAATTGCTATTCATTCATAAATTTTATTGAGTGTTAGTATTCAGTATTCTTTTAGACTAAAAATTCTTTTTTAAGCCGGCGTTTAAAAATATGGCGGTGACGTACAACACTCAAAATGCTATCGAATACCAAAAAGCAATATATTTTTAGCATAATTTTTGCAGAATCGCTAATTTTTGAAAATGCCTCCATAATAAGTTGTAGTTCAACACTCACAAAAATGGTCGATTTGGGAAAAGAAAGCAAAATGTTTTTAGCATAATTTGATGCAGGTTCGCTAATTTTTGAAATAGGTATTATAATATATTGTAGTTCGATAATCAGGTGATGCTTAAAAGCACAGCGCTGCAGGGCAGTATTGCTCAATCTACTTTAAACGTTCATGCTGGCATTTTTCATCTCTCCACGTCTCTACTTTACGTGCAATTTTAACCCTTTCTTCCTACGCGTCTGCTCTTTGCATGTTCTACTAACCACGTTTAAGTAGAATTAGAAATTCCTCCTTACCATCAGCACATACATACATGCATTTCACTTGATAATTTTCCGCCCTCACGATTCAAACGTTTCTCCTTCGTAATTAATTCCGAAAGGCATAAAGGCAATGAGTGGCAGCCTTGTTGGATGATGTCCACTTTATGTGGTCTATGCTCATTCCTAAGGTAATAAAAGTGGCAGAGCCATGTTGAATAATGTTTACTATAGGGGGTTTGTAATCATTCCTAAGCCGGGAATAAAAGTGGCAGCCATTTGGATGATTTTCACTATAGGTGGTTTGTAATCATTCCTAAGGGAATAAAAGTGGCAGCCATTTGGATGATTTTCACTATAGGTGGTTTGTAATCATTCCTAAGGGAATAAAAGTGGCGGCCATGTTGGATGATGTAATCATTCCTAAGGGAATAAAAGTGGCAGCCATTTGGAAGATTTTTACTATAGGTCGTTTGTAATCATTCCTAAGGAAATACATTGAAGTGGCAGCCATGTCACTAAAAGTGGCAGCCATGTTGGATGATGTTCACTATAGATGGTTTGTAATCATGCCTCAAAGGGAATAAAAGTGGCAGCCATGTTGGATGATATAAACATTACCGCCTTTTCCCCAACATGGCTGCCACTTTGATTACGAGCAATAAAACTTCCTGAAATATCTATAAAATACACTAGGCGACACTAGACCTCGTGTTAAATAATTTATCACCACTCACTACCTCACCATCCAACTGTTCTTAACCCTTCCTCTCTCTTTTTCAGTCATTGTTTAGCTAGCGCTGTCACACTTGTTCGCGTGTCGTTCTGACATCATGATTAATTGCTCTTTTCTTAGCAAAGGCATCTTGCTAAATTTATCACTCTTGCTTGTCATCTCCCATGTGTTTGTTTGTGTTAACCACGCGACCATAAGTATAATAATATTTGCTTTACTAATATTATATTGACAGTCATTAATATTATATCCTAGCACTAGACACTATGAAGAAAGAAAAATACTGAATATAAAAGAAAGGAAATCAAACCTCTTACACACTTTTGGTTGAGTGCATTTTACGTGAAATCTTTGGGTATAAAGCACTGAAATGGCTTTCCTTATATCCAATCAAAAAAAAAGTTTGTATGATTGATTGTAACATAATGAACCTCGCTCCTGTCATGTGGAATTGCTTGCGAACTGGTACTCCTCTTACTTATTATTACTTTTGGCGCGGTAAAATATTTATTATTAGTTTGTTGGACACTTATTTACTTAAACTTGCTGACTTCGGTTTTTGAGATTCATACACCATTAAGTTTCACTTTACAAGGCTTTTCTTTGCGTTGCAAAAAAAAAAGCTTCATTGATTGATGTCGTTTACGAGTAACACTGCACGAGTTCTTTCAAAGGCGTATACAACTTAGTTCAAATATCACTACATACAAGCGCTTTAGGTAGTGCTAACTAATAACTCTTGCTAATTAAAAGTCTTTGCGTTCGCAGTTTACAAATTAAAAGAGGCGAAGAAGAAAAGAATCGCTACTTTGAGGCCGTTATTAACGGATGGAATTGTCCCAGATCCCGCACCAAAAGGCGAAGAAGATGATGATACCGATAGTGGAATTAGCAGTCATGGCACAGCGTCTAATGGAAATGGTTCAATACCATCACCGGATCTCTCAAAAACTGAACTTGCAAGGCGACTCTCGAACGCTTCTTTGCGGGATCCCGTTCATTTAAAAGCAAAAGTGTTATGGGATTTCGAACCGCGGCTTCAAAATACAGAACTTCAAGTTTCGAAAGGAGAAATTGTACATCTACTCTACCGCGATAGCGACAAAGTACTTGCGATGAATTCTCTTGGAAAAAGGGGATTTATTCCTTTTAACTTCTGCTCGCTACCACATAAAAAGATAGACGCGAACTTGTCTAGAGAATCTGTGTGTATGCCTTCAAATCCAGCAAGAAAACAAAGAAAGCAGTCATGCGAGAATGCTTCTTTTAAGGAATTTTTAGATGATATGGACCTGTTGAACAAGAAGTCCTTCACCAGAAAACACGCTTTAAGCTCGAAATCTCACAATGATTTCAAACGTCTACAAACAAAAAGCTTCAGCGAAGAGGGTATTTTCGGAACTCAATCTTCTTCGAGCGACTCCGAGGATGAATCGTTTTATCGTCGGAAAACTTCGGGGATTCCCGACCACCAACACATGATATTTTGGAACCGGAAAGCTTTGGAGCGTTTCCGCCAACAGAAGAAAATGAATGTTTCTCATTTCCGAAAGTGTAATGATATGTACATGTTGGTTTTGTATAACTTTTTTGCTCAGGATGAAAATGACATTAATGTGTATAAAGGTGATATAGTACGAGTATTGAACCGAGATGATAGGGATTGGTGGTGGGTTGCTACACGTTCTGGCTGTGAAGGATTTGTACCATCTTCTTATCTAACGAGACGGTCTGTTGTGCCATCTTCAGGTAAGTTCGTCATTTGTGTCTACCGTGCTTATTTTTCTTGATCTTTTTTTTAAATTTACAACAAAAGGTTTCATGCACTATGATGGAAAGCCATGGTTTTATAACCCACTTTATAAGACAGACAATAGATTGAGACTTGAGATTGAAAAGTTGATTGGTTGTTGAGGAGGGAGGAAAAACCAGAGAACCAAACAACTCTGTTCACATACGACAACGAGCCCGGGACTCGACTGACCCGGGTCGCATTGTTGAGAGGCGGCGCACACCCGTACCCGCGCTTTCCTTTCATTCCCTTTAATCATCGGTAGGATTGCGAAATCGCATGGGTTTAATTTAAACTACAAAAAATGTTGATTAAATGTTCTGTGTTGTGTTGTAGGACCAAGTACTTCGTGCAGCGTGGAATCATCGAGTTCTACATCAGACGCAAGCAGCACTCAAGCAGTTCGTTTCCAGGACCCTCTCTGTACGTTTCATCGTTACGAGAAGGAGGAATGGGAAACCGATTCTGAAGTATCCGTAAGAAACACTGGTCGGTCGTTGGTCGGAATAGACGAACATAAGAGTATAGATCATAGCAGCAGCTCTAGATGGAGCACATGGTGCTGATATATGCGATCCGCGTCGTCCGGTCGGTCCATGGTCGGTCTGGTCGGTTGATAGTCGGTCTAGTCGGTGGAGGATCGGTCGGAATGGACGGACAAGAGAAAAATAATAACGCACCTGGTGCTGATATATGCCATGGTCGGTTTGGTCGGTTGTCGGTCTATCCTGATCCAATATAAGTAGAGCAAATATAAAAATAAGCAAGTCTTCGGCTATAAGATAATTCATATTCTCTTGGATAATTATAACTGTGTGCAGTGCTATCAATATCAATTTGAGTGTGAACGACATCCAATACGAACATATTTTAACAATGTATGTGTGAGTCATTCATCAACCTTAACCACTAGTATTATAAGAACAGTCTGATGGGTCATCCATATTATCATCGTTACCATAGCAACAAGAAATACAAGTATCTGTATCACGATACAGCATTATGATCACCCTCATCATCATCATCATCATCTTCACCACTACCAGTATCATCATCACCATCTTCACCACAGCTCACCACTAACAGCTAGATCCTCATCCTCATCATCCGTCATCATCAGATCCTCATCATCATCATCATCCTCTTCATCCTCTTTATCTTCATCATGTTCATCACTACCAGTATTATCATCATCAGATCCTCATCATCTTCATCTTCATCATCATCATCATCTTCATCATGTTCATCACTACCAGTATCATCATCATCATCAGATCCTCATCAATCATCACCAACATCATCTTTCATATCCTAAAGTGTATAATTAATAAGAATTATTTAAACGATATTAATAGAAGCTATTTATATTAAACAAGGATTTTTTATTTAAAGTCGTCTACGTGGCATAATATACAAACAGTCCCTGTATGGCATCCCTCGGTATCTGCAAATAGGGACTTTAAGATTTGCAAAATCTACGACGGCGACGTCAACCGGAAGTGTAAATAACTTCACTTTAGTGTCCGGGCTTCTTCAAAGTCTGTCTTTCTTGTGGATGAGTTGACTTTACTGACAATGTCTTGAATGAAATCTCCAATGAACATAACCCTAAAGAGAAGTTATTAACACTTCCGGTTGACGCCGCCGTCGTAGATTTTGCAAATCTTAAAGTCCCTAATATCGATCCAATGCAATTAGTCTCAGTCCCCTATTTTTAGTCCCGATTTGCATACTAGCTACAGTGTGCTATATTTTGTAATCCAAGACCTCTCCCCTCACCCCTCCTCCCTACACGCACACACTTTTTAGTTAGACTGTCCTGTAGGCCTTGCCTCTAGCTTTAGCCCATTGCCTATTCAGCTTTCGCCAATCATTTCGTCCAGCATGCGCAGAAATTGATATTTCACGACCACACACACACACACACACACACACACACACACACACAC